AGGATGTCCCTGCCATTTTTATATTTCTATGAGAAAAGCCAGAAGATGAGATTATGTAGGCCTTCAGACTTACTAGTTTACCCTGGTAGAAAAGTCTCAGAATAAACACACATGAGCCATTAAGCAGTATATACAGTCTCTTCTATAATTTGGCTTAGATGTTATAATTTCCTCGTGAGTATAGTTAACTGATTAATTTTGTGATAGTTTTTTCCAAGATTTTAATCTGTACTTGTATTTTAAACAGCAGAGGGGTAAAGCTGTGATCTTTTTAACTTTGCATTGCCAATGAAGATTTACTTAGGAATTTTGTGATGATATAAAAGAATTGAAGGTCTTCCTTAGCAACTGTGGTCAGCTGTACAAAAATATTTCACACCACCTTTGCTGTCCACCTGTTTCCACCCTGTTCACTAGGGTACATGCGTCCCACATCAAGACTGACTGACCTAGTTTGTTGCTAGTGGAACTCACCTTATTAGCAGTGTAATTCTGTAGCTATGAATTGTAGTGATGGGAGCCATGTTTGCTAATAAGATGTGTGCTCTGGCGATTATCATTGTATTTAGAGACAAGGGGACACAGACCTTTGAATTTCAGGGGTTGGGTAGAGAATGGATTGTATAGATAGCCTCTTTTTGACAACTTTAGTCAATTTGAATTTTACTTCAATGTTCTACACTATAGGATAAGTTCTTTCCCAAGGGCTTCTGTGGGTACACAGAAAAAAAGTACATTGTTTTTTAAAAAAAGTACATTGTGGTTGCTGCCCCATTAGTTTTCCTGATGTAGTGTGCATGTCTGTGTTCCAGTGAAGGACATAGAGTAAATCCAAGCTGACATCCCTGCTGTGGTTATTCCTAAATTACTTCTTTAGGGTCAGTCTCAGCACCTTTACTTCTTCCTGTTGGTCTCATCCACACTTGTTCTTCCTTTGGATGCACTAGAATGTTTCTTTCCTTTCTTCTGGCTTCCTTTTCCCTCTTTCCTGATGCAGCACCTTCCCACTTCTGTATCAACACCTTTCCTTACTCTTGGGTTGTTAGCATCACCCTGTGAATATGTTATGTTTTGCTTATATTTATAAAATCTTCCTTCTTCTTCTCCAATTGTCCTCTCACCTCTCCTGTACAACACAACTCCGTGAAAGATTTGCCTATCACCAGACCCTGCTTCCTCTCTTGTCATTGTCTTTTAAGCCTATTCCAGACAGGCTTTCATCTATTCCACTCAACCTCCTGAAGGACCTAATGTAGCTACATTCTGTTATCCATTTTTAGTCCCTGTCTTACATGTTGGGAGTATTTGACAGTGTGGAAGGTCTTCCTTCATGAAATACTCTATTTTGGCTTTCCTTTCTCTTGGATTCTCTTCTTCCTTTTGATCTCTTTTGGTCTCATTTGCTTGCCTAATGTTAATGAACCCCAAATATATATATCTTAAGTCTAAGCTATATATCTAAACCTGTGATATCTAAGCTAAGTCTAAACTATATGTCTGTATCTGTAGCTATATTTCTGTAGTTTAAGTCTCCTCTGGATGAAGTACTCTTGTATCTAGCCCCAAAGTCATGTTTTGTGCCGATTAGAAAAGCTATCCATTTCTGCAAGCACTTGACTGCCATCTTCTGGAGAGTTTTCAGAGTAAACAGATACCTTTTAGATGACACTGAATGCGAATGCTGAAGGAGAACGGTATCTCTCACAACTGCAGGCTCATCATTAGCAGCAGAATGTCCCTCCACTTGGGTAGAAAATGCTATTTTCACATTTTGAAGCCACCTAGGAGGAAGAGATTTTTAAAAGGCACAGGGGTGTGACATATATACTCAGTCCTTTCTTAAATCATTCTGGGTATGTTCACTAGGTCCCACATCCAACCCCTGATCCTCAGTCCCCATCCCATCCCGTCCCAACTTCTTTCCTTCTGTGTTTTCTATTTCAAAATTCTTCTGGTGGCTGGAGTCAAACTCCTTGAAGTTATCCCCCCCCACACCCCAGCTTGAACCCATCAGCAAATCCTGTTTATCTTTCCTTCAGAATATATTAGAACTTGATGACGTCCCAGCCCCTCATTGCGGCCACCCTGGTACAAGCTCCAGCAGCTCTCACCTGGATGATTCCAGTACCAAACTTCCTCTCCTCCTCTCTGCAATGTAGCAGCCCGGGTTATTTATGTCAAATGTAGGTCACATCGTGTTTCTCCTCTCCCCCAGATCCTTCAAATTGGCTACTGTCTTACTCAGAGAAAAACTTAGTGTCCCTTAAAATGGCACCCAGGTCTGTCCCACATTTTCAGCCGTGGTCAGCTGTCCTGTTCTTTCTCAACCTTTCCAGCGCACACCTGCTTCCGGCACTCTGCCTGGAAGCTCTTGCGTGCAGTGTGGCTTGCGCCCTCTATCGCTTACGTCTTGTTTTTCAGGTAACGCTGTATCATATTAGAGAAGCCTTCCTCAAACAGACTAAAAAAGCAATATCGCTTTCCCCCAAAGCATTTACTATTCCCGACTGTTGCATTCTGTCCACAGCACTTACCGCCTGGCCTACACACACAGTTTACCCTTTTATCTCATTATGATTGAATCTATGTGAGACCAAAGACTTCTCTCTCCCCCCCTTCCCCTTCCCCTCCTATATCCATTTCTCAAACAATGCTTGACAAGTGGAAAGCTTTCAGTAAATATTAGTCAAATGCATGAATACAGGAATCCCTGAATCTGTCAGTGGACCCTATCCTAAAAAGACACAAAGATCTGAGATGGTCCTGGACAATAGAAATCTTTCAATTCCAAGATAAAAGCATTTTTCAGGAGTCTAGGAACTAATTTAAATCTAATTTGAAAATTGTATCAATTTTACAGCCTTCCAGAATAGGCGTTACTTTCCTACCGAGAAAGCATGCAGGTGCCCTCTAGTGGTAACTAAAGAAGCTCACATTCGTGTTTGAGTATTAGAGTCCATTCCTGTTCCAGAAGCTTATGACAGTAATAATTAGGATAGCCCCCAAATCTTCAAGTGTGTGCTTTCCACAAAATAAACTGAATCAGAAAATGCATGCTCAATTTTTTTCTAAATTATTTCTGACTAGTTTTCACTTACAACTTTTTGATTTCTGGAATCTGACTTCTTTTTCTGCCTTTTTATTTTTCTTCCCGTTTTGTGCTCTGCTTTCCTTTGAACTCTTACATGGGAAATAAAATGAAGGATCTAACTTCCAGGTGTTTATATTGATATAATATAATATAATATAATAATAATCCCTCCTGGGGGGAGGGATGTGTGAAAAAACCCTGCTGAATGATACAGTAGTGAGCTCTTCTGGCCACGCTTCTGAAGCCTTTTGGATCCCCATTGTCCCATGTCTTCCATTAGAAGAAGGAACTTTAAAGAGACTTCACATGCTGTTTTTCATTCCTAGTAGCTGGGGTGGATCTGGGAAGTCTTTGCCTCCAGGCAAAGCTTAGCTTTGGTCCCACAAGTAAGGAAGAGTGGTAAGAGTCCCAGGAAGGAGGTGAACTCTGATTGTTGATGCTCCACTTAGTGCCTGGCCTTTTGCCGTGGAAGGCGGTGGTCTGAGTGACACCAGGGATAGCAGCTGGACCAAATGAATAGACAAAACAGATTTCATATCAACTTAAAGAAACATTTTCCAGTAAGATTTTTTTTTTTTTTGTCAAAGTGGAAATCACAGCCTCAATTCCTCATCAGTGGATGGGTCAATCAGAGGCTGGGATGATGTCCTGACAGGGTTTTGTTGGAATTATTAAGATTATCTGCTTTTGTGAAAGATTCTAATTTCTCCCTATACAGGTTCACATCCTCCACACACTTCATTATTCAGTTCATGTCCCTTCCTATTTTGCAGCTTGAAGCCACCTCTTCTATCTCTCCCTCTCTATCACTTTAGGTGCAGATCAGCACGTATTTCATACTGTCTGTGTTTTTCTTTTCCCCAGAGATATAATCTTGAGCCCAAGTTAGTGCTCAGCTACTTGAAGGTAGGAAGCTGCCTCTTGTAACGGTCTCCTCCCTGGCCTTGCTGTGTCTTCACTTTCAAGGGTGAAGATTCAAGTTGATAGGGGGGATGTAGAGGCTGCCAGTTGTGGTCTCCCCTGGGATCCTGGCTCACGTTGCTCAGCTGTGGTCTAAGTTTGGTGGATCAGTTCTTCAGCTAGGTAGTAGAGAAACCGAAATATTTGTTTAGATTTGTTCCCTTGTTGGAACTATAATCAACATTTTCACCTAACTATACTAGTTTTCCTTTTGAATTGTGTCATTTTTTCATTTGTCTGACATCTCTGGAGTAGGTATCATATACAACAGTTGGTAGGATTTTTACTGGAATCAATAAAGAATCCTAGTTTTCTGTTATTTATGTAGTCGCTTTAGGCTTTTACTTTCTGCTGAGGTACTGATTTTTTCTTAGATTGCAAGTGCTTTCCATGGTGTTTTTTCTTGAGAAAGTGTCTCATTACACAAGTTGATGTAGTATTTTGAATAAAATGTTATTAAGTCAAAATAATCCATATATTACTTCTTCTCAAAGAATTAGGAGATTTTATTTCTAAATTGTCTCTTCTGCTGAAGATGTATTTGTGTGACTTAGTGTTCCATCCTAATGGAAAGGTGATTTTGAAAAGAGCTGCAAACGATTTGTGGGTAGGGTTGGCATGTACCCCAAATGTACTTTCTTTAACAATCACGTACTGTTGTTTTATTATTTAGACAGCCACAGTTCTTTTTATATTACTTAATAGGCTGGACAGTTTGAGAATTTCTTTATAGTACTACCTGAAAATTAGCAAGTTTATCATCCACAGCACTTGCACCACTTAATATTTCTAGAGTGATTAATGGTGATATTTAGTAACTGGTGTGTTCTCTCATATGATAGCTGAAGGACAATATCCAGTACTTTGACTTGTGGTTAAAGAAATATTATGTTCCTATATTTATGGCACAAATGCACACATCTCTATTGTGTTAATTTGTGTTTTTCAGAGTATGCCGAATTTCTACATTGCAAAGGAAAGAAATTTACAGATTTTGATGAAGTTCGCCATGAGATTGAAGCAGAAACAGATCGAGTGACGGGAATGAATAAAGGCATTTCTTCTATACCTATTAATTTACGAGTTTATTCACCCCACGGTAAGAAAAATATTAAACCTCCAAATTCTTCCCCTCAGACATTTTGTCTAGGTTAGTTAGCATATATCACCCATATGCAGAAGTTACAAATAGTGCTGACTTTCTAGGATAATGTTTGACTACTGTCATAAATGATATGTTTCAGAGGGCTCTTAAAGCATTTAAGGAGAGACAAGACAAGATGATTTTAAAAAATCAGAATCCAGTTAGGCATTTAAAAAAATATTTTTTTCCCAATGAACTTTCAGAATTTGAAGAGGGTATACACGAAAACTTCCCTTTTTATTATCTTCAGTCTGCAGAAACCTTAGAATATGTGTATTATGGTTGAGTCTTCTGTTATTGATTTCCTGGCAGCTCTATATATTTCTATTTATTTTCTTCCTAAGGAATCAACTATGATTTTTGTTTTTCTTTTTTGAGACAGGGTATTGAAATGTAATTCAGGCTGACCTTGAACTCATTATGTAGCCCATTATGTAGCCACTCGAACATGTGGCAGTCCTGCCTCTCAGCCTCCCCAGTGCAGGGATTGCAGGCGTGAGCCATCATGCCCAGCAAAATTGTGATTTTTTATCCTTACACTATGCACAGAAACCTACAAATTAGATCACCAGTTCATGATATGTGATAAGAAATAACTTTTACACTCACTAAACTTTGAGTGGGTCAGATCTGCGTTTCTAGTTTTCGGCCCAGCTCTTTTCTTTCAGAACAGAGCATGAGTGATGTAAGCTCGGTGATGAGGCCTCCTTGGTGCTATCAGTGAGTGGATGACAGCCAGTCTGTCACTGCCTTCTCCTGTGTAGCCTACTCACCACTACCCTCAGAGCCACACAAACAGCTAATAGCTTGCGTGTAGGCTAAGTCGTTAACCTGCTATAACGAGCATAGTGTTTTCAAAGGAAGGCCAAATCGTACCCCAAGAGTTTTTATACCACTTGAAGGTAATGTACAAAACTGTCAGACAGCACATGAATTTAGTGTGTTGTTTTAATTATAACCCTCTAGTTATAGCTAGGATATAGAGCTCTTTGAGGAAACTGTTAGGCATGCAAATCAGTGCCTTTCAAATTATGTTAAAATGATCATTTGGCATAGCACAATCATATACAAAGAGAGAACACCAGCAAAACCATTTTGTATCCTGTGGTTTTTATTCTAAATACTTGGGTTGGAGTCATTTAGATGCACAGTGCATAAAGCTGAGCTAAGTGACAGGTGAATCAGCAAAGTGCACGTCTTTTAGCATTGAAGGTGTACATAAGACTCTTCTACTCCTTTCCACACAGTGCTAAATCTAACCCTTATTGACCTACCTGGAATAACTAAAGTTCCCGTGGGAGATCAGCCACCAGATATTGAGTATCAGATCAGAGAAATGATCATGCAATTCATCACGAGGGAGAACTGTCTGATTTTGGCTGTTACCCCAGCCAACACTGACCTCGCAAACTCAGATGCACTGAAGCTAGCTAAAGAAGTCGATCCTCAAGGTGAGTGTGTGGCCTTTAGACAATAGGGAATTATTGTAAAATGTCTAAGGCTTTGGTATATGTATAGGTAACACAAATGCTCACATCTTAATTTCTTTTTTTCCCCTCCAATTCTTTTTTTTTCTCATTGAGTTTATTGGTACATTTTAGGTATACAGTACAGTTACATTCATCATTGGGATCTTGTACCTTTACACGATGTATCTTGGTTCTTATTTTTTCCCTATTGCATTGCCTTCCCTTCAACTCCTCCACCCTCCCCTATTTACAAAGACTTTGTTTCAATTTTTTCCTTTCCTCACATTTTTTCTTTCCCTTCTTTCCTTTTCCCTACCCCTCCTACTTCTCTTGCCCCTTTGCAACTTTTCTTCGTATTTTACATTATCAGTTGTACAATTTGAATCTTATTTACACTTACAGTTTCTCACACCAAAGAAGTTACTTGGTGTTTACACATGTGTGTCCTATTTATTTCACTTAAGAGTATGGCCTCAATGTACATCTATGTATCTATAAATGTCTCTAGTTTCTCATTCTTTATGGCTGAGTAGTACTCCATTTTATTAAATAAAAAAAAAAAAACCCATGTCTTTATCCAGTCTCCAGTTGATGGGCAATTGGGCTGTTTGCAAGCATCATATATTATAAACTGTGCTGCTATAAACATTGGTGTACATATATTGCTTTGGTATGTTTCTTTTAATTCTTCAGGGAAGATACCCAGCAAGGGAATAGCTGGGTCAAATGGGACCTCTAATCCTAGTTTCTTCAGATATCTCCATATTGATTTCCATAGTGGTTGCACCAGTCTGCACTTCCACCAACAATGGAGAAGGGTTCCTTTCTTCCCACAACCCTACCAACATTTGTTATTGTGTGATTTCTTGATAGCAGCCATTCTTTTTGGGGTGAGGTGAAATCTCAGTGTTGTTTTCATCTGCAACTCTTAAATGGCCAGTGATGTTGAACATTTTTTCATATGTTTGTTTGTGGCTCTTACTTCTTTTTCTGAGAAAGGTTTGTTCATTGCAGATGCCCATTTTTGAATTGGGTCTTTAAATTTGGGGGGCCCGATTTTTAAAAGTTTTTTTTAATATATTCTAGATAGTAGACCTTTGTCTGAGGAACAGCTGGTAAAACATTTTTCCACATTGTAGGCTGTTTCTTAGCTCTGTTGGTGATTTCTTTTGAAGTGCAGATGCTTTTTAATAAGATGAGATCCCAGTTGTTGATTCTTTGTGCTAGTTCCTGTGCTACTGAGGTTTTGTTCATAGTCTTTTCCTATGCCAGTGTCTTCAAGAGTTCTGCCTGACTTATCTTTTAGCAAGTTTACTATTTCTGGTTAAAGATTTAGATTTTTTGTTTGTTTGTTTTAGAGACAGGGTCTCATTATGTAGTTGAAACTGACCTGGAACTCACTTTGTAGCCCAGGCTGGTCTCCAACTCATAGTGATCCTCCTGCCTCAGCCTCCTGAGTGCTGGGATTACAGGCATGTGCCACAACGACCTGGCCTAAAGATTTAGATCTTTAATCTACTTCTATTTTAGTTTAGTGCATGATAATAGATATGTATCTCCTTTTAATCCTTGGCAGATTGAAATCCAGTTTTTCCAACACCATTTATTACATAGGTGATTTTCCTCCAGTGAGGATGGTTGGTTCTTTTGTTAAAGATAAGGTGGTTGAGTATGTGTGAAGTTGTTTCTGCATCTTCTAATCTGTTCCACTGATCCTCGGATCTGTTTCTTTGCCAGTACCATGCTGTTTTCATCACAGTGGCTTTGTAGTATAGTTTCAAGTTGGGCATTGTGGTACCTGTTTCATGTCTTTGTTGCCTAGAATGGCTTTTGCTGTTTTGGGTCTCTTCTGGTTCCAAATAAATTTTTTGCATTGTTTTTTCTAGTTCTGTGAAATATACTGTTGGGAATTCAATCAGGGTTGCATTGAATCTATGTAGCAGTTTTTGGAAGTATGGCCATTTTCACTATATTGGTTCTTCCTACCCAGGAGCAAGGGATGTCTTTCCATTTTCTGATATCATCTTCAGTCTCTTTTTTCAGAGTCCTATAGTTTACAATGTAGCTTCCTTTGTTAGATTAATTCCTAGATATTTCATTTTTTGGGTGCTAGAGTGAAGGGAATTGTTTCCCTAATTTTTCTCTTGGTGAGTCTGTTATTTGTGCACAAGAAGGCTATTGTTTTTTGAGTGTTGACCTTGTATCCAGCTATTCTACTGAATCTGTTGATTAAGTCTATAAATTTTGCCAGGGATTTAGTTCAGTGCTACCGCCACCTACCTTGCAAGTACAAGGTCCTGAGTTTGATCCCCGGTACCAGAAAAAAAAGTCTGTACGTCTTTTGGTGGAGGTTTTGGGGGTTTTCTATGTAGTATATCATATCATCAGCAAATAATGACAGTTTAACTTCTTCCTTTCCTAAATTTATCCTTTTTATTTCTTTCTCTTGCCCAATTGCTGTGGCTAACATTTCCAGAACTGTATTGAACAGGAGTGGTGATAGTGGACATCCTTGTCTTGTTCCTGATTTTATTTTACTTTATTTATTTATTTTTTGGTACTGGGGATTGAACTCAGGTCCTTGCATTCGTGAGGCAGGTGGCAGAACCACTGAGCTAAATCCCTTGCCCTTGCTCCTAATTTTAGCATGAAAGTTTTCAGTTTTGGACTATTTAGTATAATTCTGGCTGTTGGTTTTTCATAGATGGCCTTGATCAGGCTGAGATAAAGACTTTCTATTCAAATTTTCTGTAAGGTTTTTATGACGAATGGTGTTGAATTTTATTGAATGCTTTTTCTGAATCTGTTGAGGTGATCACATGATTTTTGTTTGGCTCTGTTAATGCAATGTATTACATTAATTGATTTACATATGTTGAATCATCCTTGTGTCCCTGGGGTAAATCCAACACAGTCAAGGTGTATGATCTCTTTCATGACTCTCTGTATTCTGTTTGCCAGTATCTTGTTGAGAATTTTTGCATCTGTCACATCTTGATTTCATTATTAACAAAATTGAACATTATTGTTGTTGGTAAACATTCTCTATTTAAGACACTGAAAGAAAAATGATTAGGGGATATAGTTAAAATCTGTATAAATAAATGTAAGATTAAAATATAAAAGATCTAAGAAAATAGACATTTCTAAGCCTCATGCCCTAATTATTTTATAAAGTCAATAAAATAAGTTATAGTCCAGCAGAATTCAGTCAAGTTAGTCTAGTTATTACGAGTTACCTGAATGTGCTCTCAAAGAGGTGTTCTGAGGTTTGTTTACTTCTTTAAAGTAGGATGCCCCTTAGTGCGTGTAAGGTACGATGGAGGAACTGCTCCTTCCAGGAAGGACTCATTATTGTCTCTGTGGTGAGGCTGTGCTGGGCCTCTTTATTCTGAGTCTCTAACCAGCACCTGGCCCAAGGCCTGAAACACATCAAGCCAAGCCAAGGGCAATCTTTCCTCCTACCCTGGCACCAATCTACTTGAGGCCTTGTCACTTACAGTTGATCTAGCAATTTACAGGTGAACCTTTTTTATTTTCACATTATTAAAATAGTCAAAATAAATCTTTTACAATTTTAGTTTTTAAATATTAGTAAGACTTGGCTGTGGTGGTGGGTCATGCCTGTAATCCCAGCACTAGAGAGGTGGAAGCAAGAGGATTGCCATGAGTTCAGGGCCAGCCTAGACTACATAGTGAATTCGGGACCAGCCTGAACTGTATAGTGAGACCTGTCTCAAAAAGAACAAACCAAACCAAACCCAGCCAACCAACCAGCCAACCAACCAACCAGCCAACCAACCAAACGAACAAAAAATACCATCCATGTTGATGTGGTTGGGAGTTTGGATTATGCAATGTTACTGATTATTTTAAACACATGTTTACTAAAATATGAGTTCTATACAATGAATAAAATACAACTTATAGGGTTGCCTTTCGGTATTTTTGAGAGGAAAATAATTGCCAGCATTTGGTTAACATTTAGAATTAGAGTTATCTTTATTATTATTTTATAATAATTGATCTTATTTAATTTTCACATAACCTTTTGAGGTTATTTAATTTTAGAGATTAGATATTAAGGTTTACAAAAGTTGACGTACAATCAAGATATGAAAGATCTGCTTCTCAATCCTGTGTTCTTTTATCCATATTGTCTAATAAGGCTATTCCTACAGGGTGGTCTGATAAAGTAAAAAGAGAAGTAGGTGAGGATGGGCTTCACAAACACACTATGGGCTTGCAGGATTGTTATGTGACCCTGTGTGTGTGACCTGGAAAAACCTTCTCACCCTAACTGACCTCCTGAAAGCCTAAGTACATAAGAACAGTTTGAAAAGACCACCATACAGAAAGAAAGTAAAACATTATATAATTCCAATGGCTTGGAATTTGACTTTCAAATAGTCTAGCCATTCCCCTTAAAGCTTTGCTTAGCATTTTCACTTACTCAGTAAGAACAGCCTTCACAAATGATGTAAAAAAAAAAAAAAGCTTGAACTTTGTCTAGCCACAACTCTGTAACATTCTACATATACTAAGAGAATTATTCCATCATGAAACTTATTTAATGTAATGTATTAATATATTCTAAAATTATAGTATTAGTTATTTTACAGAGGCTTTTATTTTGGATATAATTATATGCAAAATTTGTAATTGGCTTAAATATACATTTTTCCCTGAGAATATGAGGTGTGATAAAAATACAGTGAATGTTTAAATCAAAATATTATTACAGTAAAAGATTCATTCTCATTAATCTTCTCAAAATCCTGCTCCTCATTTTGAACACACTTATCCCATAATTCTTGCCACTTTCTGAAGCAGTTCTGGAAGTCCTCTTTCATGTGGGTCTACTTGCACTGTCAGGGCTGCCTCAATGTCTTTGGTTATAATTTTGACTTTAGGATAGAGCCAAAAGTTTTGTGGTGCCAGACCTATGGAATGAGGTGGATGAGGACACACTGTAATGTTTT